ACGTCTGATTTTGAGTGTCATAAGCCTGAGTCTTTTAGGCTTTGTCAATATAGTTTGTTAATATTGTGTGTGTGTGTGTGTGTGTGTGTGTGTGTGTGTGTACAGGGCGAGGTAGTGTGATGATGACAGACAGGTGGGCGGGGCAGCACAGCGAGTATTCATCACGCTTGATTGAATAGTTCGGGAGATATACAGTGTGGCTGCGTGTATAGGGGGAGGGGAGGAGGCTGATTGGTCGAGTGAGTGTACATAGTGTGTGTGTATGATAGTATATGTGTGTGTGTGTGTGTGTGTGTGTGTGTGTGATTTTATGCTCAGCCACCCAATAGAATCTCGGCAATTTTACATTCTACCCAAAGCCTTATTTATGCAAATGTCCTGTGATATTTTGTTTTTAAATACCCCTCAAAATACTAATAAACTCCACTTTATCCATTAATATTCTTTGATGCCAATATGTGTTTTAGTTCATATAGAAAACATATTTTTTAGGGTCGGTTGGAATATGAAACTGAGTGAAATATATCCCTACAGTACCTGGATTGTATATTAATGTAAAGGGATTATAGTTGTAGATATGTGATGTGATGGACTAGCATGCCGATCATTAAGGCTTGTTGTGTATCTCTCTCTCTCTCTCTCTCATATTATTTAAGTTTCCCATTGTTTTTTTTCCACCTCTCTCTCCTTCCCTCCTTCCCGCTATCTCATACTTTATCCTTCCATCCCTCACTCCTATTTCTCCCTCTCTCTTTCCTTCATTCCCTTTGCCTCTCCTCCCTCCCTCCTTCTCTCCCTCAGCTAAATAAGTTTCTCACTGTCACCTTACCTCCATGACCCGGTGCGTCGCTTGAGGAAATTTGGAGCCGGAGTTGTAACTTTGTTAGACCCCGTCAGTTTAAGACCACCGCGGGGGGTCCACCTTGTTATAATGGAAGGAATAAAAAGTGAACCTAAATTCGGTCTTTTTGGGGGTGGGGGTGGGGAGGGGGGAGGGGTGGGGGTGGGTGGGGTTGTAATCGCAAATTAGGAAAAATAAAAATTATAAATCAAACTCGGTGTCCTCGGTTCGAAACTCAGCCACATTGGGTTTAAATTAGGTTTATTTTGGGCGAGATAAACTTTGGGAGAATTAGGAGAAAAAAAACGTAGGATTTTTTCTGAATATGTGTGTGTAAAGTTTTCACCGATTTGATTATGTGTACATACATACAAACATACATACATACATGCATACATACATACATACATGCATACATACATACATACATACATACATACATACATACATACATACATACATACATACATACATACATACATACATACTGTACATACATACATATTTAAATTATTTTCTGTATCATGCTTGTTTTAATGTTATTTTTACGTCGTATTATTATTATTATTATTATTATTACACACACACACACACACACACACACACACAAACCAAATGCTGCCCTAATTACATGTTCCCCGTCAAGGGATGTTATTACCAATACTCACAGCAGTACCGAGTTCATTATGAACGCTACAGTGTTTACTAATAAAGATCCCTTTATTTATGGTGGCTTAGCTGGAGAACCCCGATAACGTGACTTAGTAATGGAGTCAGCAGAGCGGGTAATAACATGGGAGTTTTATTCATTTTATTTATTTGTATTGACTGATAATGTAGAATGTATAAGGGAATGGTAAGTAGTGTAAGGGTGGAAAATGTTGTGTTGTGTGATGTGATGTCTGTCTGTCTGTCTGTCTGTCTGTCTGTCTGTCTGTCTGTCTGTCTCTCTCTCTCTCTCTCTCTCTCTCCATCAAAGTTAGAGCTCATACACACGCAATACATAAAATAAATGTGTGAAAGCATTAGTGATACAGAGAGAGAGGGAGAGAGTGAGTCAAAGAGACAGTGACACAATAGAGAGATTGAGAGAGAAAGACACATACATAATGCATATATACACACACATAGACATACACACAAGAACACACACATAAGAGAGGGGTGTGAGAGGGAAGTGAGAGGGGTGTGAGAGGGAACGTGGGAGTGAGAGGAAGAAAAGGGAAGAATAAGTGGAAGATTGAGGTGGAGACAAGAAGAGAAAGAGAAGAGACAAACAGGTAAGAGGGGGGGGGGGGGCAGGAGGAGAAAGGGTAGAAGACAAGATGGGAGAAGGATGGGATAGGTGGGATGGAGAGAGAGGGGGGTGGAGAGGGGGAGAGGGGATATTTGAGTAACTTTCCCTCTTTTCATATATATAGTTACAGGAAGAGCGAGGGGAGTACGTGGTCATGCTTATGGAAGAGGAGGAGAGGAGGATGTAGGAGGAAAAAGGAGGAAGAGGAGTAGAAGGGGAGAGGAGGGGGGAAGGAGAACGAGGAGGGAGGAGAAAAGGAGGAAGAGGAAGAGAATGAGAGCAAAGGAGGAAGTGAGGGAAGTTAAGAGGGAATATGGATGAGAGAAAGAGGAAAGACAAAGAAATGAGAGGGTATAGAGGGTAATAAAACAAGAAGAAAACAGGAAAGTATAATCTGTAAGTCCCAGGTTGATGATCTGAGTTTCTGCCTCACTTACACACAATTGTAGGGTCTCAATTGTTTCTCTTACTTTGACAACACAATATATATATTATTTCTCACTGTTCATACTAAACTACCCCAAACACCATGATAACCTCCAGCCAGTTCACTCATAGACAGTAACCGGTTTTTATTCGGTAGAGGACATACATAAAAGTCTTTATTAATTTGCATTTAGGATGGTAATACATAGAAAATAAGAATACTATAATTTATTGCATTTTGGACGGAAATTTAGAGTTTAGGAATTATTCTCATTCTAAAGTTACGAAAAATCCTACAAAAATTGGACGGGTTTTAAGTTTACTGGTATGAGTCTCCTGGGATATAATGTTTACTTCTCTACGTGAGCTTTACAGGATCATACTACAACAATCAGGGGAGCTGAGTCTGTCACATGATAGATTTGCAAGAGCCTAAATATTTAAAATGAAAATGTTCAGTCGAAGTTTTATTTCATTGTGTCAAGAGCGTTCTGCGTCTGAATGGGGGAGCGATTCAATATGTTTTGGATAATAACATTGCTGCTATTCACGTTTTCAAGGCTTATAGTATATTGCTTACGTCTGTCAAGTGCCTAGATACAGACTGCTATGTGGTTTCGATAAAGACACATAGTCGCAAATAAAAATTAAAGTTAGGGTAAGTAAAGTTAAGTTAGGTAAAGTTAGGTCAGGTTAGGTAAAGTTATGTCAGGTTAGCTTAGGTTAGGTAAACTTTGGAGAGGTTTGGTCAGGTTCCCTTTGGTTGGGTGGGGCAGTTTTTTGCGTGTTTTTACCTCACAATTTTCTTCGACTTCAAAATCTTAAGGTAGTCAAGGCTAGATTCTTTTAAATTACCTTCAGTTACATAAGAAAACTCAATTAAACTTCAGTAAATCGTAATAAAAACCTCCATAAACCAGTATTAAACCATATTAAAAACAATTTCCATAAAACATATAGTCACCACTAAACAACTTGTATAAAAAGTAAACTAAAACAGCAATAACTATTTTTTCGCTAAATATTACGTGAAATTATAACAAATATTTCCTGAAAAGACGAAAGATGAAAAATCAAATAAATTTTTTTAACCGTATATTTTGTTCCCTTTAGCCTGCATTAATGACAGTAATTTTCACTCAACTTAGACGGTCTGCTCACCCCACCTGCCCCCACCCACACCCCTGTACCCCACCTTCCCTAGTCCCCTCCACACCCCAATTTCATCCACTCCACCCCACCTACCCCCCATTCTCTCCCCATCCACTCCACCCCACCCCAGCCTCCCCCTAGCCTTCTCCCCTTCCAAAATTACAGAAAATTGCTCCATTTGGTGATATATATGAGACCTGTTAAGTGTAGCTGAAACACAGGTCTTAAAGGACTTCTTCTTTACCATGAATGAACTTTATTCATATATGTTTGCACTGCCATGATGTAGTCGCGTTCAATGGTACCATGACGCTAGTTTATGTTTGGTATGGACGGTTATTTACTGTAGTTTTGGTGCATTTAATGGACGCTCGATTTAACGGACTTTCAACTCTATATAGTTCATTAGATGGAGGTTTTCACAGCTAGCGGATCCTTATATAACGGACTTTCCTCTCCATATAGTCCGTTAAATAGAGGGTTTACTGTACCGTTATATAAGACCGTGGTAGTTATCACACGAGTATGATGTGTTATCCTAAAAAGGTGAACCAAATATAGAAGTGATTATGAGGTGTTCCTGATGTACTTGAGTTGGGGGTGCAATGATAAGCTAGTGACATGAGCGGGCTGAGGGCGCGGGAAGGGAGGAATGGAAATAGTTCGCTCAGAAAATACAAAATTCTGCCTTTTTTTCTCTCAAAATGTAGCACCAACTATACGAATCACACACACGCATATGCAAATGTCTGCCACAATGGACACTACTTTCATATCTAGTGTTCGTTTAAGTATGAGGCAACACGCACCGTCACTCTTTCGTGATTTAAGCCTCATCAACATGGTAATGAGGGGCATTTGTTCCTTGTGTTGGGTGGTGACCTGGAGGACAGCTGCTTCCTTGTTTATATTACCAGATTTTAGGGAAGTTGGAGATCATGTAGAAAGAAAATCGGTGTTTTATTATTTTTTTTAATTTTTTTTACTGAGACGAAGGTTCAACTCTTTAAGGACGATGGTATAACCCTTTAAGGACGATGGTATAGCCCTTTAAGGACGATGGTATAACCCTTTAAGGACGATGGTATAACTCTTTAAGGACGATGGTATAACCCTTTAAGGACTATGGTTTTACCCTATAAGAACGATCGTTTAATTCGTTTTGGTTTCAACATATCAAAAAATATCCCGTATTTTTTTTTCGACGAATGAGAAAATCAGACAAGTGTGACCAAGAATCTCAGATAAAGGTATTGTCTTCACTAACATATTATTCTGTTCCAGGGAAGACTGTTAAGTATTTTTAAGGATAATTGCCAGATGTAACACATATAAACACAGTACTTTAATGTATCTATAAGTGACACAAGAGACCAGGAATGTGAGGGACAACGGTCGTGCGTCTGTGTAAATACTGACTGAAAAAATGTAAATGTCGTGAAAAATAATGAACCTGAAGACTCTATATTTAAGGACGATACGGGTGTATAGAATAAGAACTTTGTAAATAGAGAATAACTTAGAGACGCTATGTACAGTACCTTGTGATGCTCACTACAATGACCAGTGTAAATAAGAGAAGATGTCTTAGTGGTGTGTGTTAGAAAATAAGATAAAATGTAAACACCTGTAAATACTGATGGATACTCTCTCACTGTTGACACTAAGAGGAAAGATGTAAATAAGGGTTTAGTTTGTGAGACATTAAGAGAGAGAGAGAGAGATCACGTAGAAATTAAGTGTTGTAGAGAAAAATAAAGTGAGATAGAGAGATGGCTTCGGCGAGGAGCAGAGTGTCGTCTTTGGTGGTGGTAGCCCTTATGATAGTGTGTGTGTGAGTGTGTGTGTGAGTGTGAGTGTATATGAGTCATGACCACCACCACCACCATGACAGTGGTGGGGCCACTATGGGGGACCCCACAACACAGGCTCCCTAACCGGTGTCGCCCGGGCCAGAGACTGGCAGACTCCGGGAGAGCGAGACCGTGGCAGACCCCTTCCTTCCCTGTAATCTTCCTTGTGTTACTGCTCCTCCTCGACCTCGCCATGCCGTCCCCAGCGCACCATCACACGCTCGACCTCGAGTACGACCTTAGAACGTTGTTATACGAGGGTCTGTACGTACCGAGGAAGACACTAGCCAGACATCTCTCTCGGACTAAACGCCTCACACACAAACAAAGCCAGACGGTGGGGCTGAACTTCACGTGGCCGGCCAGGAAAGTGGTGGCGACGGAGGGGGAGGTGTTGCTGGGTGGCCTCATGATGGTGCACGAGCGTCACCATGATATAGTCTGTGGCCCCATCATGCCCCAGGGAGGTGTACAGGCGGTGGAGGCCATGTTGTACACTCTGGATTTCATCAACGATCAGGAAGACTTTATCCCCGGCGTGAGAATCGGGACCCACATCCTGGACGACTGTGACAAAGATACCTACGGCCTCGAGCAAGCTGTAGACTTTATCAAAGGTCAGTTTATGCCTCCTCTTCTCTCAGCCACGTTATTCTCTCATTCTCTCGCTCATTTTCCTTGTTATTGTCTTTCTTTTTCCTAGTTTAATATATTATTCTCTCTTTGAAACATGTATTAGTTATTTAAGTCTATCATGTATACGTATAAATATATATTGTAAAAATAAATGAAAAATTCCCTGTCCAAATTGTCTCTTGTTCAGATTTTCCCTGCACAAAATTTTCCTTCGTACCGGACATTGATTTATTTAACATGGTTCATTAACGTCAGTAATTCTCGCACCATAAGTCATTTTTCTCCCTCACACGATTTTTTCTCCCCCACATAAACGGCAGGAGGCGGGCTAACAAGGCAGGGACCCGGGGGAGGAGCTAAGGCGGTGGTGGGGAAGATTTCTGAGAGGGGGTGGTGGTGGGGAAGATTACTGCAGCAGGTGTGGGGAATTATGGTGAAGGTGGAGGAAAAATACCGAGAAATACATGTTTATAACTTATATAATTATAGGAAGAGAGAGAGATAGATTGATTAATATTACAGGGTACAAAGTCATAATTATAAAGTTCTCTCCCCTTACAGATGCAAGATATAGAAAGGAATTATGTACCTCTCTCTCTCTCTCTCTCTCTCTCTCTCTCTCTCTCTCCTACCTCTCTCTCTCTCTCTCTCTCTCTCTCTCTCTCTCTCTCTCTCTCTCTCTCCTCTCTCTCTCTCTCTCCCTCTCTCTCTCTCTCTCTCTCTTTCTCTCTCTCATTCAAACATCTCAAACATCAATGAACGTGACCATAAATATGCTGGGGCAAGCTCTAATCCACCCGTACAAACTGGCAACGATCACGAGTAAATACAGACAGACAGACAGTCATGCAGACAAACAGACAGACAGACAAACAGTCATGCAGACAAACAGACAGACAGACAGACAGAGAGACAGAGAAACACACACCACAGTCGCCACAACACAGCCAGTACAGTAACACCCGTCCACAAGACACTACCCCCTCCCTAGCTGTGAAAGTCTACGGATATGACGCACCACATTTGACTACCTCACGGCTGGGAGGACGGGGTGAGTTACCATAAGTTCATCAGCTGTTGTAAAGGTGACGTTCACTTGTTCACTCTGGTGCTGTATATTGTTAGTGTTGTGTAGTGGATATTTTGTCGATTTAAATAACGTTTGGATTATAAGATGTTTGTAAAGTTTGTTAATGTTCGGGTGTAGTATAAGTTGAAGTATTGATAATTGATAAATGTACGCACGTAAATACCATACACACATACACACACACACACACATACATACTCGTATTATTGTTATGAGGAGACGTAATAATTAGAATACATTATCAAAATTTCAGCATTTCGATCACAGATCTTTAATCTGCACGCTGATGAAGGATCTGTGGTCGAATTGTTGAAATTTTGATAATTATCTTCATTGTTACATAAATAATGAAGTTTTGATAATTAATTACGCTAATAATTATTTATATATAGATAGACGTACATAAAGGCGTCTCTCTCTTTTTCTCCGTAGTTCTCACACACACAAGTACACACACCTCCCCTCCACTTTCCCAACCCCTCCCTAACACACACAACCAAGGTGAGAGTTTCACCTGAATATACATTACCTTAATCCCCACAAATCCTGCACCCGTTCATAGGGAAATCCATTAGAGAAATCCTGAAGGTAATTAGTTAATCTCATCAAATTTGTGGATTAATCTGTATGTATAAAGAGGAACCTTAGCTGTTAATTTTCCAGATGGTAAACTATACACGCGTCTATATAAGACCTACTTCTCTATAACAAGGCGTGCAGTGGTATAGTGGGTAAAACTCTCAGCTCTCAAACTACGGGATGAGAGTTCGAGCCTCGGTTAGATTGGGTGACGGGTAGATGTAATGAGAAGGTGAGGGAAATGACTCATAGTTATTCAGGGTTTTTAAAGAAAAGACGGAAAGAGAGAGAGGACGGGAGACAGTGACATAGAGAGAGAAAGAGACAGACAGAGACAGAGAAAAAAGAGAGAGAGAGAGGAGGTACAGAAAGAGAAAAAGTCAGACATAGGAAGAGATAGAGACATAAACAAAGTGAGACAGAGAGAGAGAGGAGAAGAGAAAGAGACAGACAAAGGAAGAGACAGTGACAGAGAAACAAAGTGAGACAGACAGACAGAAAGAGAAACAATGACCCACTTGAAGAAATAACAAACCACCTCTCATAAGCTGAATTAACTCTACCATTAAAGGTATTATCGTCACTTAACCTCTCGTGAAGACAGTGAGTGGGAGGGAACAAGGTAAACACGTGTACGACAACTCGTTATCTTTTGTACGACATCTTTAATTTCGTGTTGACAAGACCCTCATCCCCGAGGTACGATAATTAAACTCTTTGTATACAATGGATTAAACCTGCGAGACCTTCATTTAGGATAGTAATTAAATCACGAAGTCATTTACGATAACTTGATTCTATAATTACTAAAATATCGTAAATTATTTCTCTCTCGGGTTTTGTAGTGAGGATACGATATCTTGGATTTACGATACGATTGTTTAATTATATGGTGATTTAAGTCTTTTACTACGATATTTTTTCTCTTTGATTACGATAATTAACCCTTTAAATACTATAATTTTAGTCCTTAATGACGAAATCTTAAACCTAGTAAAAACGATTCTCAAAGCTTGACAATATGATCAAAGCTTGGCAATATTATCAAAGCTTAGCAATATTATCAAAGCTTAGCAATATTTCCTCACAGTTTTTGGCATCTTTAAGTCTTGAGACGAGAAAAATGTAAAGTATTACCTTGTTTTACCTTGAGCGGATGAACATACATTACCACACACAACGAGACTATTAAACAAGGTGCTTAAGGGGGGGGGGGGGATTTATTGCTACACGACTGATATTAATCCGCTCACTTCTCATGTTTTGTTCAGGATTTGGTATTCATGTGTAATCCGGTTAATCTTCGTGGTGTAGGTACTTTATTGGATTTCTTAAGTGGGGTAGATATTAAAATACTTTGACGGGGATTTTTCTCTTTTCTTGGGGGGTATATAATTGGTAATAATCCTCTTGCCTTGTGTGGTACTTTGACTGAACTCGAAAGTAATCCGGTTAATCTCTGGTCTGTGTGAGTGTTTAAAGGGTGTATCCAATATTGCTGCCTGGTTGGGATTTACTGGTGTAAGATTTGTGTTAATTCCCCTTGCTTCTCGTGTAGTGCTAAGGTGGTAATCCCGCAAAGTCCGGTAATCCTCTGTGTGTCGAGAGTAACATCCCAACATCCCTCTCACGTAGTAACTATTAGCATAAGACTGGAATTAATCCCCTCGCTGTTTATGTCCCACTAAGGTGATAATTTAGTATAATCTGATAATCCCTTGTGTGTATGTCAAGGCAAGCACCCAAAATCGCTGTTGGTAGGGATTAATTACCATAAAACTGACAGTAATCCCCGTTGTTGAGTGCTCATCGCGTTGCTTCTATCACGCTAAGGGAATTCCCTCAATAAATCCCTCAGCGGGGATTTTCTTCGTCAATCCAACATTAGTTCCTCTCACTGTCTCATAAAGAGCCACGTAAATAATCCCATAATCCCCCTGATGGATTTTTGGCTACAAGAGTTAAAGTAATCCTGACCCAACCTCACCTCACCTCACCTCACCTCACCTCACCTCACCTCACCTAACTCAGAAGGTATATCAAAGTAATCCGGTAATCCCTCCCTTGGCCTGAGTAGTGAAGGTAACAGACACAGTTCATGTAGGAAAGGATTTATTGTGCCTCTAAGTCAATAGTTTAAGCTACATCAAGACCTGAATGATTTAAGTGGAAGGGGAAGAGGAGGAGGAAGAAGAGTGGATGAAAGGGGAAGTGAGAGTAAGAGGGAGAGGGCGATAGATGAGTAAAGAGGCGGTAAGGTAAGAGAGAGAGAGAGAGAGAGAGAGAGAGAGGGGGAGGGTATCCATGAAGATTCACAAGATGGATAATAAAGAAAGAATATTAAACACACATATAGAGAAGAAAACAAACAAACAAACACAAGATTCCATTATACAGTTGTTGGTGTGGATTCTGAAGCTATGTGAGAGACCTTTGTTGGATAGTGTATGGATGTTATTACACAGCTGAATACCCCGGATACCAGAGGCGCGCACCAACCAACCTTAACAACTGCCTGGAAAGTTTGGAACGATAGCTGGAATTGAATTGGTCTTATGGCACAGTGTTCAGTCGACCATGTACGGTATATAGGGTAATGGATTGACATTCAGGCACCTATTTCACAGCAGTTGATATCTGGATGGTAACAACACGAGAGGTCAGGTCAGATATTCCCTCTCTGGCGGTAATAGAACATCTGGTAATTGAATCTGACGTTAATTATTGTTGTAGAGTCATTACAAGACAGACGCCAACAGGACTCCACTCTCAAGGCCTTCTAGTCCAGTAACCCTGAGTGTTGTAAATCATGTTAGCGGCTCACACACCAGGTATTAAGGATCTTGATGAAGCCAACACACAGAGGTGACCACGACAGCAGCGAGACTCTCTTATCAGGGGGAGGAAGGTGGAAGAGAACGATACTTAATAACCTAAAATGTTTATTGAATGACATCAGTTCTCTCTCTCTCTCTCTCTCTCTCTCTCTCTCTCTCTCTCTCTGTTAAGTGTCCCTCCAGACGATAGACCACTTGAGTCGCTGAGGGTCGTCCTATTTTTACGGCTCCCCAGACAGCTCTCCACCACCAGCAGCCGTCCTACACCTCCTGATCGACTGGGGAGCCGTTCACTCCTCACAACTGCCTCCCACCAAGCGAGCCAACGATGAGGAACTGATAACTACATTTGCCACACCAGACTGAGCCCCTTTTGTACCCTCGCCATGAACCAAAGTGTAGGAGCGTTCTGGTACAGTTTGTAATCGAGGCAGCGGGAGGGTACAAGACTCTGGGATTATTAACAAAATACCTG